ACTTTCTACTGTTCATCTAACATTAATAGTTAACTCTCACATAACGCGGTATGAATTTTCATGATATCTGTAAAAGTATTTGGACATTTGTCTACGGATTTTCTCTTGGTTATGTTTTGTACCATTAACCTAAAAACCTTAAGATACGTCAAAAACGTCCTATCTCTTACGTAGAAATTTTCTAAATTATAAGTACATTATGTGAATAAAATATAAACTATTATTCGTACAATTTATATCAATTTTTACAGATGACAACAGATCTGAATGTAATTAATCCCAACGGAGCCCCGTGAATGTCCTTCGAATGCTGTGTACGAGGTTACGGAACATTACCACAACCTGTTACGCTATCGGTTTTCCGTATCGGTACGGAAAAGTGCGACGGGACCCGTTCGAAAGTGCGGTCTGGCCGCGCATCCAATATGTATGCAGGTCCGTCTCACACGAGGCCGAGCAGCGAACTTCAAACCAGCTTTTCGTATTGCTCAATTCGTGTACGTTGATTTAATGCTGGCTTCCGTCCAGAGGCTCCAAAAGCCGAAATAAAATGACGCTCGACATCGTCTGTGCTTGGAATTTGCGCTTGTCATTCGTCAAATGGTTCGTTATAGCCGATGATTCGTTGTTCTTGGCAGGGTAATTGTAGTTGTATACAGTGGCTTGCGAAACTGTTCAAATGTATATCTGTAACAGTTAACAAGAGGAATATAAGCGAATGTAGTAAACTGAAGAAGCATCTATGACAATGTAATATTTGTAAACGGGACTTAAGACTAGAACAAGATTATATTAATCAAATTATAATATGAGATAATTCAATGAGATATATAATATTAAGCGCATGTTTATTACAGGCACTTTTAGTCAGCTACTGAAGTTTTAAATTATTTAATACTTTTATAATATACTTTACCTCATAATATTATTAATATTTAGTTCATATATGTATGAACTATTGCAATAGTATTCCGTGAATTAATGTTTCATAGAAAATACAGTTATCTAAAATAAGTTTTACAAGTTTGAGAATCATGTTTAAAAATTTAGTAGCCAACATAACCTCACAAATGTTAAATTATATAATGTAATATCTTTTACTATAATTTATAAATATTCTCTTCTTTGACAAAAGATAACCCTGCGTGAAATCATTGTGATTAAAGAACACAATAGAATTCAGAAAAAATTTTGACGATTTTAAATTGACTTAAAAGATTATTCTGTATTGAAATTAATTAAAGTAAATTAGCATTGATTGCCAAATTTTTATTGGTAAATTCAAAAGGAACTAAAGCCTATGAGAAGGTTGAAGAGTTGAATATCTTATGGAAAAGTCACCATTGCATCTGGGAAGACACTTTTTGCAGAACAGTCGATGCACAAACGTCACCAGGAAGCATTGATTTCCGGCTTTCTTCCGTGGCGTCGAATCAGGTCGGCTTCATTTAGCTCCCGGCATGTCTCAACCTGGTGGACACACATACCGTGTCATTTGCAACTGCACAATCGTTATTGTTGCCGTCCACCAGTTGTCCCTATGCTTTTCGTTGCTCCCCCGGACGCGGTTGTCGCGTGACAAGCCAGAACACCAACCGCTTCCTGTCCATCCTCCTGCACGCGCGCGATGCACGCGATTATGCGACAGGGTCCCTCGCTTGAACTTGTTCCTTAACCGTGAATTTTTAGCGAACGATGTTTTTTGTGGACGATGTGCATCTACTGGAATGATCAAAACCCTGTAAAAATAACCTATATTACCATGTGATTTGGAAGTTACAAATTTGTCTATCTATATCTATTAAAGGCTATGTTTTATTTTTTAATCATATTATTTTATCTTATCACTATATCATCATTGTCATTAATTAATCTATTCATAATAATTATTAATTTTTCATTTTTCCATTAGAATGAGTAGTCTCTCATTAGTAATTCCGTTTCTCAATCTCGATAAAAATGCTGTACAGAGATGAGAAGATGGTTAGCAAGATAACACGGCGGCAAGAAACGTCTGATTTCACCTTTGATGCTTCCGAAATTCCTGCTTTCTAGTCTTTGGCGGTATGCGCTAAAATATTAGTAAAATAAGTTAGGTCGACATTCTTTTTATCTTATGCTATATAGTTAACACTGGTGCTGTGTTTAAGTTTATATTTTATTATTTTATCTTATTTGGTTTCAATCTACTCTGATTATTTTCCCTGTTATTTAATGTGGTATAATTCCAGGTATAGATGTAAACATTTTTAGTTAATAATGAAAACTTGTCTTCTCTATTGCTATGATTGTGTTAGAGAATCTGTTATACTATGTGAATCTATTATGTAAATGAACACATAGATGCAATGAACACTTTGAGTTATATTCAATTTTCCAGCTTTCTCAATAGAGGCTGAATAAAAGCTGAAAAATAATTAATGAAAGAAATATAAGGACTAACAGCCATTAATGCACTGACACTCAGGGATACTTGAGATATTCAGATGTAGAGTCTGATCCAAAGGTCAGGTACAATAGAGGAAAGAAACATATTAAGGTCTTTTCAAAGCATTAAATTGCAGCATCCTTTGAAATGACAAAGTCTACGCTGTCATGCAACATTCTATTTTTGTTCAATAGAAACTATTGCAAAGGTAAAATCAAGAGGAAGAACATGATAAGATCTCACATTAAAGCACTAGGTTCGTACATCTCATGCAACATTCTACTTTTTACCATAGGGACTGAATTATGACTAACATATAATCAGTGAAAGATACATAACTACATAGTACATTAAGCTTTAAGTAGTGACACTGCTTAATACAATGACCCAGAACTGAACATTGTATGCTTCTTGCAACAGGAATTGAACCAGAACTAAACCATTAAGTACTATTACGTTAAAGTGGATCTCAAACTAATCCATTAAGTATGGTCTCAATTATATGAGGATCCCCATAATTGCATATGACATTTCATATCCTTGACTAGGTACTAAATCAAAACTACAGAAAGATTGGTAGAAAAATTATAAAGAGATTTTAGATTAAAATATCAAGCTATGATACCTATCATTGCAGTGACATCTAGGGACACATGCAAGATTCTACAGTAGGTTCTGAACCACAACTAAGGTATAATGGGCGGAAGAAACGTGACGAGATCCTAAATTATATTAAGTAGTGACACCAATTGATTTATTAACACTTAGTGTCACATGCAACATTCTATTTCAACCACAGTTAGTGAAAAATACATATGAAGTTCTACATTAAAATAATAGCACTGATTGATGCTACAAGATGTAAAGTATCGTACAATGCATAATTTTTTTTGAGAGACTCAAAGTTAAGATATTGTCAGTGTCTACTTATCTAAATTGAAGCATCAATAAACTGAATCCAAGGTATATTTCAAATGAGATTTCTCCTTCTGAATATTTGATGCCTTATCGAATTTACGATCTCTATATATCTTTCACAAACTATACAGGCTACAAGAACATAAAGCATCACTGAAACGTGGAATGCTTTCTGGCTAGCAGCATTAATCGATGCAAATGATACAAGTATTTTTATTCAAGGATAAACTGAAAAAAGATTCAGTCGCTCGAAATGGTTCTTACTTTGCATGTCTTTTGTCGTATCTAACAATCGAATTGTCAATGTTCGAAGACTGGCGGTCGTTCGTTGACCCGAAAAGAAACCTGTTCCCGTGAACGAACGTTGATAAATATTTAACACGCATTGTCCAGATTGTTCATCGATATTTTGTAATTGCAAGTGTCATGTATCTGAAAACGCATGAAAGAACATCGCATTTCCGGTACTTCAATTCGAAGACGAAGAAATACTTAAAGAAATGACCTCCATGGTTCACTGAGCTTTTTCTTGATTTTATGGTTAGATAATTTGAATGAACTGACTCTGAAAAATATCGATAAAAGAATTATGCTTAAATTTGTAATGTTATTTAAAACAATATTTTTTTTTTTTAACCAATCGTGTCGTTAAAAAAGTTTACCAATTTTGAAAATAGTGTAAAATATTTATTAGTAACGTGTGCGTTTATTAAAATTTCATTCCTCTTAAAATGTAAATTATTAAGTGAAGTTTGAAAAATAGATCTATTTAGAAAGCAAGAATAATTTTATACTGCATTATGAAAACAAATATTTCTCTGGAACGGTGAATTCGCGTTATTACGGTTTAAACATGCATTCTAGTGTTGACTTTATTACATATATAAATATTTTTATTGAACGTGTAAAAATACTAAATACTTTTGTGCCAATTAAATACAAGTAAAATGTGGATAGAGAATATTCTGCCATACGGAAACTGTTATAAAATTTACATTCCCTCATAAATTACAAAAAAAGAAAGTTCAGCATAAATCTAACTTTCTTATTTCATTGTAGCTTTGCTAAATCAATTGTATTTTATGAGTGCACTCTTAATTTGTTAATATTATATCCTATATAGTATATCTTCAATTAATTATGTTTCATATGTCTGTTATTTTAAATTATTTTAATAAGTGATTCAAAACTACAATATTAATACACAATGAGCTCAAAGGGTATCTGTACATGGTCCTGTTTGTTTTCAATCACATTCCTAATTGATTAAATTTATATATGAAATCAGTTTTCATCCACAAGTATTTTAATTTGATTGCAAGGAATTTCTATTAAAGAAATAAATTATACAATATTTTTCTACTCTTCCCAATTGTAAGAATTACATAGTTGTGTTTGACAAATTCAAAGAAAAATTTATCCAAATTATTCAAATGTTCATATTAATTTAAATCGAATCAAAAACATATTTGACTTACATAGTATTAAAAACATTAACTGAATCATCTGGCTTCCAGCTTCAGCTACAGAAGTATAGAAATATTTAATCCAAAAATTATCTGAAATAAATACAATGGCAATAAATATTATTCGTTTTTAGACAGTACTAATCTAGTAGAAAATCTAATCAAAACATAATTTCAAATTGTTCCAGGGCCGTGAAAGCATTCCAGCAGGTGCTATGGGTGGAACCAGGATTTCCACGAGCCTGCGAGGTTCACCTACGGCTCGGCTTGATGCTGAAGGTCCACGCTGACTTTGACGCCGCCTTGAAGCACCTGACGTTAGCTCTGATCGATGCCACGACACCTGCCTCCTTTTCCAAGCTCGAAAGTGAGTCTCGGTTTTCGTCCCTTCGATCGCCTACGCGCGTTCCACCTTCAAAAACGTATAATGCACACGAACAGCTGCCGACCGTAAACGGTGCATTTTTACTCCCGAAATCTTACTCCGATACCACATGTTGCTTCTCCGTACAGCTTTCTTCATTTTTACACCACGATTCTTATACACGTTCTGAAAATATCATTCGAAAAGTATGTAGGCATTTGACATAACCAAAATAATGGACGATGTCGTATTAGAGAATTACTTTGTTACTTAAAATATTAGTAAAAATATGGAATATTAATTCTTGACTGATGCCAAGAGTTAGTTATTCATAAACCACAGTAATTTCTATTAAACGTATCGAAGATAATAAACTTCCGCAACACGTCCGGCTTCGTTCTGTCGTTTACGGTCGTCTCTGCCGATAAGCAGTCACGTGATACGATTATACAAAGCGCAGTTGTTATGCGCAGTCGCGTTAATAACAGTTTCGTTGGTTATTTAGGGCGGGGAATTTAAATAGAAATATTTAAATATCTCTGTTACTTACGACTATATGAAATTTTAGTTTAAATCTAGAATAGAAATTTTGCATAGAAGAAATATTTTCTCAAATTATTTTATTTATAAATGAAATGAGCAATATAGTATGGACATGATTAAAGTTGTCATTGAATTCTGTTAATATTATCGGAATATGAGGTTATGTACATATATTTTCTTTATAAGTGAAGTGAAATTAGTAGTAAAATAATTTAATTTATTTAATTTATCTACAGCTTTTTATTTTTTATTTTATTAACGTACCTCATTATTTATTAATATATTTTTATATGTATTTCATATTGCTTAAAAGTTCTTGAATTTAACATTTAATTAGGATAGAGGTAAATTTAATGGCCATTACAGTCGCGTGTACACGATATAAATATTTACCTCGGTATTGATTTTATTCATTACACAAATCTCCTTTTCAAGGTATCGCTATCGTGATAAAAGGGGATTTTGTTAAAATATGCGGGAACTTTCACTTCGAACTCTCGCTTTTCATGGACGCCTCATTAAAGAGGACAAGCTTTACGTCAGCTTAAAAATTAAGAGCCGTCGATCTCGTCCCCTTGGATATCGGGTTATGCGAGCCACTTTCGCCGAAACTTCGGCGATTGATGTTAAAATCGTTAAAATCGTTTCGTTACAGCATTCTAGATTTACTTTCCCCTCTTTCTGTCCTTTTGAAGTATGCGAATTCTGTTACATAAATGATTACCTATAAACCGTGATTGAATCTTCCTTATTTTATAATTTATAATTCAAAAGTTTTATTTTTCTGATAATTTTCTTACTGTTTTTTTGGTGGGGGAGGGGCTTACTAATAAATATCATACTTGTGTTCAGTGCAGTAAATTCAATATATAAGCATTGAACTACAAATTTCAACCAGTAATCTATTTTCAGCACTAAATTTCAGAAATAGCAAGTTTATTATTTAGATTAAAGCATAAAGCAATAGCTCCATCAAATGTGTGAAAACATTCGTTTAAAAGTAGGAAAAGAGTTTCAATTTGTGTAATTTAAAGCTTCATCCAATAAATCCATCAAATATGCTAGCATTCAAGCGAAGCACGCAAATGGAAAAGTAAAATAGAGGAAATTAAAAAATCCCATCGGTTTTGCGTGCGTACTCTTAATATATTATTTAGCGAGCCACGATGAAATCGATACTTCCTCCGCGTGAAAAGCGCCTATTACATTCTGCGCGCCACGTCTTGACAACATCTCGACCCCAGACCTTTAGCTCGCTTTCCGCCTCGAACTTGACCCCCTTTTCTAACGTGATACAACAATTCTTGTGTCACGTGTGACCTACGATAACACATATCACGTGGTGGACGATATTTAAGGGTGCATTAAATGCGACTTTAACGATTTCCCTTGAACTCTGCTCTCCTTTAAATGTACACGTTGCACAGCAAATTCTAGAGGGTGTGCCGACGCATTTGCGTTTCTTTTTTTCTCCTATAAATGATTCTAATGCAAATGGGTGATTTTAACGGCAAATAATGAATGTTTAATTCTGAAACATTGAATGTTCTATTAAATATTTTAATATTTGAAGTATTCACATTTTCAGTATTTATATTGAAATATTTTAATACTTACCTTACAATATCCTGTTTAGTATTTCAGTATGTAATTTCAATGGTTTAATAATTTAACTAAACATTTTTTAATTTGTTCAATGTAACAGAAATGTATCAAAAAGTCAATTGTATTAGTATTATTTCAGGTTTTTAGCAATATTTTTTAACACTGAAAAGGAACTCTGGCTATTGAAATAACCTCTACATATACAATTTACAATACTCCTGTTTTGTTTTCCTACAAACAAAATTTTCACAATTGTCACAATTAAATATCTTTTAATAGAATAATATCATTTGATATTAAAAATCAAATATTGAAACATCAAATATTGAATTCAAACCTAACCTCTTAAATTCTTAGAATTTTACTTACCTTAAAATATTTGATCAATAAATTTCCAGTATTAATTATATGAATAATATTAAATTGTATTATTAATATATTATTAATATTAATGATTCATTTGAATAACAGTGACCAAAAATAAATGTTAAATCGCGAACTAAATATTCAATTTTCGTTTCACGTATAGGCATGAGACATGGTGCGTGATTCCAAGTAATAATCTATCAGACAAGAGAAGTGGAACAGAACGTTAAATCTTAAGTAATAACGGGAATCTCCGTCGCTCTTTCCTGGCGGAATTTCATCTCACTGCGTAGCGCTAACCTCGTCACTTCGAATTACCAAGAATCACGAATGAGTCATCCGGAACACTACTTGTTCTGTTGCACTATTTAAAGTCTAAATTTAGTACGTAGGGTAAAAATACTCGTGGACACGAGTCGAGATATTACGATAAAACTTGTGGATTTGATCCTAGCACGTGATCAATTATAATCATTTAAGAGAATGTTAAAAGTAATTTAATCCCTTTAGCTTCAAATACTTTCCGCGATAGAGGTCGCGCGAAGCTAAATGCTTTCCTCCCTCCACTCTATTAAAACAGAAGATGATACTATGCAACTCTGTCGGTAAATTGGAACTCCACAATAAAAATAATATTTTCAGTACCATCTGTTGCACGATGGTATAATTATATGAAATTGAATGTATAACGGCATCGAAGTAGAAGTAAACACATTTCGAAGGTATTTGTATTTTCCTGGCACAATATTAAATATTTATACGATAAACAACAATATTTATTATCCCAAATATCTAAATTTTTTAATAAAATTAAAGTTAATTTTAATCTGTTAAAAGATAATTAATCTGTTTAATAAAAATTGTAATACGCTAGTTTTTTAGTAACCATTTAAAAGAACGTTAAATTGATTTAAGTCAATATAATTTTTATTATCCAAAATAATTATAGTTTTGTAGCAGAATAATTGCTAATTTGCTTTTTTTAATACAATTATAAATTTCTCACTTATTAAACAAACCGATAAAAAATAATTCGTAAATACACTTATATTTAAATTATATAATCACTATGAAATATACACAAATGAAATATACATAAAATTTAGTATTTTCTAGTAAATTGAAACATTTTTTAACAATACTTTTAAGAAGCTTTGAACCTAGTTCAAATTTTATAATCTCATTATATAAAATATTGAAATATATAATAAAGCCCAAACAAGTATTCAGACAGTGCAATTTTTTACTACCATTTTCATAACCTCGTTCAGAAATTTTTTGAATACTGTTTTTTAATATAATTATTTTCCACGTCCAATATTAATTAATTTCTTTCGTTCCTTGTTCTTAACATGGAACTAAAAAATGTTTTTTGTCAGAGGCTTTCTTATATCATTATGATCTATTTTTTGAAAATATCATTTTGACGAAAATATTCTATTTTCTTGACTCATTGTCGGTGAAATAATTAAAAGTGGTACTATGGTTCGGTGAACTTTGATTTAATCGATCAATAAAAGGAGAGAAGTCTTCTCTGTGGCGATCCTTTTTATATTCTTGCGTAAGTGTACTGGAAAAAGGGGGTCAAGTTCGAAGAAGAAAGTGAGTATTCTTTTCTCAAGAATAAAATAGATAATTCCACGAGTCTTGTGACTAGAACATGAACGACATAAGCTGTAGTCATCAAATTCGTTAAATTCTTAATTCGCGAATATGAAATTCAGCAAAGTCTCTTCGCCACCATTTTGAAAAATCTTTAATTTTTAAATCGAATTAAAATTTTAATTGTATTAAATTAACTTTAGATTAAATTGAAGATATGTTATATCTATTTTTATTGATTGATATAGTTCTTATTATTATTTAGTAATTAAAAGGATACATTTTATTACAAATATAATATGGTTAAAAAGGAAAATAATTTTTCAAATTTAGAAGTATAATTTTTTTGTTTAATGCCGATTGAATGTAATTGTATCAAATTTAGAATAATTTATAAAATTAGTTTTGTAACAGAAAGTGGCAGAAATATATATTTAATTTCAAAATCCTGCTGCCTTGAAATTTCTTAAAGTTTAATTCTAAAAATGTGTTGCTAAATAGCATTTATTATACTCGAATTTAAAGGTCGAAGCTAACCCAATGTAACTCGTTTGATGTTTTATCAGTTGTTTTATTATAATGTGATAAATTATTTATTATTCATTTATAGCAAACTGAGAATAAAAATTAAATATCAGCATTTCTCTCATGTCTTAACAAAGTTTAAACCCCAACATAACATATTCAAAATTACTTATAATATTACTCAAAATATACTAATAATAATATTGAATATTATTATATATAATTATTATGTAATATTTAAATTAATATTTCATTATTAATATTAAAATATTATATATTAATATATATTATTTAATTTGTAATCTTTAATTTATCAGTGTTCTAAATTTTTTAATTAATGTTTGAATTAATATTCAATTTAAATATTAATTCAAATTATATATTAACCGACGTAATTACTATTTATATTAGTTAATATGTAATAATTTCGAAAGCAATTAATTAATTAATATATAAAATGCATATTATCGTTGACAATGATTGAAATATCAATTTATCGTCGAAATAAAAAATTTAAATCTCAAACTGGAAATATCAAAAAGTGCCACTGTTAGAAGTTGTCAATAAAATTCTGTAGTCCATTAAAATTTCTAATCAAGTTTGATTCACGTCATAGTATAGAGATGGTATACATAAAATAGGTGTGAATTATGCAGTAGTTCCTCGTCAACTAAAAGCTGTATGAAGAATACTAAAATGTTGTACATAAGTGGATTCCCCGTTAACAGATTCTCAGAATCAACCATGACTAATAAGAATGTGAATTTCTCTTCTCACACAAAACTGAGAAATCAGTGTTGACACGAGATTATTTCCAAGATTATTTTAGATTACATTTTATTTCCGAAAAATTAATAATAAAATTATAATAAAATTCTTCCAAATAAAAAATATACTTCCATATTTACCTAAAAAAGTAAGAATATAATAATGTATGGAATTTTATAAATCATATTTTGATCGATAAATAATAAATCTTCGATAAAAATCTATTAAAAATTTGACTATTAAAAATATTGATCAGATTTTATGTCAGTTTCTACGATACCAAATTCATAGAAAATTCAGAATTCTTAAATCCTAATATCAATAAAATATCGATTAGACTTTATGGAATTTTTTATGATATAAAATTCTTGGATTCCAAATTCAAACTTTATTGCGAGTTAAATTTCAAAATTTTTAGATAGATTTCGTAAAGGAGATCCACAGATATAAATATGTAAATGAAGTGGGAAATTTAGCATACGATGATAGTGGATGATTTTTAACTATTGAATCATATGGGAGTCCGATTTGTCATCCAAAATGACTTCCTTCATTGGACTACGTTGGAATTACTTCTGTTTACCAGGAAATCAGTTCGTGTCTTCACCAGCCGGAAGTCGGGCTTATAAAATAAAACGGACCTAAAGGCACGATACATCGAGGTGTCAGGTCAGTCTTGCGTTTGCCAACGATCTGATTGTAAAGAAGTTCTATATAGATAAATCCAGAGAAATGCAACCCGAAATAGCGAAAGTATGTAGAATAGAAAGAAAATAAAATAAAATATAATATCAACAAAGTTTAGAATATATAAACATACAGAGTAATTATTTAAAATATTTTATTATAAACAAGTAAAGCAAAAGTATATAGTAAAATATCTGAATAAATGTATTTATTCAAATATTTAATAATTAATAAAAAATATTAAAATTAATATCCAAAAATAAATATGAGACATCACAAGTAATTGTATTTAATTTTTAATTGTTGAAAAATATTTTATCATAAATATTAAGAAATATTTATTTTAGTTTCTTATTTTTTAATTTTAATTAGAACAGAAATTCTAATTAGAGTTGTTATTGTGTATATTACGTTGTATTTAATATGTAAATCTGTTATAATGCATAATTAACAACTCGTGTAATTATAATAATATCACTGTTCCTTTTTATTTTTGAAATAATATCTTCATGAAAATATTTTTTATTAATTTTCTAGGTTCGCAATTAAAATTTGTAATATAATTGAATAACGTAATTCTTACCTAAGAATTATTTTGTAATTTCACCTGACCTTTATAATTATCATTGTAATTATATCACAGTATTAAAATATAAATTTTCCTTTTGTATGTTCTAGTCAAATTTCATATAGCCCATTTGTACGAAGTCCAAGGAAAATATCGTTTGGCCAAGGAGCATTACGAGGCATTGCTCAAGGAAAAAACTCTGCCTTCTCATCTGAAGGCTGATATTTGTCGCCAATTAGGTGAGTCAAAACTTTACTTAATAATCATTAGAAGTGACCATCGATGAATATCAAATCCACTGCTTTATCCAAATTGTCTGTTTAAACAAAAATAGAAATTATATTTTATAAAGTACAAAACACAAAACTAAATAGAATACCTCACTTCAATCTCCAACTATTGGGTGTCACCTATGATCTAGCAGTACCAGTTGAGGATTAATCATCCTTTCACTTCTATTTCTTTAAATCAACCATAGTTGAATGATCTTCAGTATGAGGAAAAATAGAAATTCTTCCATAAAATACCAAACACAGAATAAACTCAAGTATACTAATCCAATCTCCAACTATTGTCACCTATGATCCAGCAATAACAGTTTGAGGATTAATCGTTAGCCCACTCTTATTTCTCCTCTTCGACCACAATTGAACGATCGCCAGCTTAACCAGAAGTTGAGCTTTTATTTCCCACCGATGGTTCAATCCCGGCAATGCGGTCAGATACGCCGTCCCCACCCTTCACGGGGTTAATTAAACCCAACCCACGCCTGACCGCGCGGAATCACGGGCCTCCGAATCGTTTTCTTCCTCGCGAGCTGTCGGCACCTCGCGACGATTCGGCTTAAGGCCCGAGCCGAGTGTACGAGCAAGTAGCAGACACGTGTATTGATTTATTCCGGGTTGGGGTGGCCTGGCGATGAGATGGGGCGGCCAAACGCCGGCTGCCGGGTGGGGCGAGGGAGAGGGTGCGTATTCAAGCAAGAGGAGAGGGACGAAGAGGAAGAATCGAATTCGATAAGGAGACGAGATTGTGGGAACCTTTCTACCCCGTAGCCCTTCCTGCGTTTATCTTCCTCCACCTCCTCCTTTTTTCCTCCCATCTTTCTTTGTTTGCATCAGTTGGCAAGGTTCGTTGCCCTTGAAGCTAATTTTTGGGGGTTATTACATTCTACCTGATCATGTTTTGCTGTACGAGCATTTGCTTTTTACCAAAATGGTACGTGCAATCGAATGAACCGAATTGGCAAGATGGAAATGTTAAACGGTGATGGCGATTAATACAGTCGCGCCCAAGGCCGTACGTGCCTCACCGGAGAACCCTGATCTTTGGGCTGCGAAGGTCATTTGCGAGTTGATATTTAAAATTTGGAGGGATTATTGGTTTTTCTTTTCAAACTTCAAATATGACATCCCTTGTTTTTAACAATACCCAGTGTATTCGGTATAGTAGATGCAATTTTTACATTTATTTTCTAAATTAGAGCTTTTTTGAAATTGCTAATTTCTTTGTTAGGTTATTTAACTCCTTGCAATTTAAGGATATTTTTCTTTCGTAGATTAGCAACTTTAGAATTAAGAGTTTTGTTTGGAGAAGTGGAAAATTTTAAATATCTATTTATTTCTTTTTATTATTTTTCTTCTTATTTAAATTTCTTATATAGTAACTTATACTATCTTCGAAATAGTAGTCTATTGTTTATCTCTTAGATAGAATTATGCTCTTCATCCTTCCACTTCTTTGATTCCTTCTCTTTTGAAATTTCTCTCTCCCTTTAGGTCTCCATTTCCCCTTTTTTTTCACAGTACCTCACTTTCTCTAGGCCTCCAACGTCTTCTTCCCCTTTTTTTCAGTATCCTTTCCTTTTCCAGGTCTTCATCCTTTTTTTTCTTAATATTCGTCACTTTCTCTAGTTACACATTGCCCAGTTTCCCTTCATTTTAATGTTTCATATTCTACCTAGTCTGCCTCCAATCTGTTCATCCCTATCATAGTGTTCTCACCCTCTTTTAGTGTTTATCACTCTCATTTTTAGTATTCCTTACACCCTCCAATTATCCATCCCTCTTCCCCCTATTTTTTTATGTCTATCTTACATTCTCCGGATATTCTAAATTTTCTACATTCTGTGATAGAATCTCCTGATTCTGAAATAAATTCATAGCAACTGATTAAAATTGAATGATTTTTCAATACACTGTTATTTATAATTAAATCATAGGAGAAGAGGTTAACTATTTCCTGTGTTAAACACGAGGAAGATATTTTCTTACCTTTTGAAGGATCTCTTATCCCAGGATCATAATATGATCAAATCATTCGTTAAAATTGAAGAATTGTATATACCTCAAAATTAAAAGTTCACGTGCCTTTGTATCTTTCCGACCGGGCGTGTGTCGATCGTCTTGCGGTCGGCAGATGGCGCACGACGCGCCGATACCTTTGGTATGGCCGTCGGCTCGCGCACAGCCGACACCATCGGTGGACGCGAAGCGTTGCGTGTAGTGCATTGGCGCAATTTCCACGTGTGCACGCCGCCCGTATCTTTCATCGCCGCGTTATTAACTCGCTACGAGCCGGATTAAAGCGGTAGTTAAACCGACGAAGATTGCCGGTTCGAGTTATGGAATTATAATTGAGCCCCCGTTACTAGATGACCGTTTAACTGGTAAATCCGCTTCGAGCCGCGTTGAATTTGAATTTACATGCCTCTTTGCGATCCGTTGTTTTTGAACCCTCGAAATTACTTGTTCGTTCATCTGTGATATTCTTGTTCGACTATCATTTTCTTCGTTCTACTGCCATTCCGATATAGTTTTGTATCTTATAACGTATTGCGTTATGCGGGAAGAAAGAAAACTCCCCTTTCAAACTAATTGCACTTCTGTTAAACTATCAAATATTGATTTAACAAACTAATAAATTAAAGTGATTATCTGTTTAATGAAACAAAATAAATACGTATATATTCTTTGGTTTGCTCACTCTGCCTTATGCATGACACCTACGCACCTATAGTTTCGAATACGCACTATTAGTTTATACTGTCGATAATATAGGGTCCTAATTATCTTCCCAACAGATCCGACGTTAACAGTTTCTTTAGTATAATTTACGAATCAAAATATTAATTAGGAAATTATAAGAAAATTTATTATTTAAATAACAATCCAAATAAAGGGTGAAATATTCGAAGTGTCAATATATTAACACGTTGAGTGTCACCCAAATTTGAATGACACCTAAAATTTCAAAAATCACGCATCGTGTATATATGGATGATAATAGAAATATGATATTTTACATAACATGATATATTACATAGAAACATGATATATACATACATAATTTAGAGATACTACTTTAAATGTACAATTTTAAAATGAAGTGTGAAATCGTTGCTCGCTTAATTGTCGCATCGTCTTGCCCCCTTAATTGCCTTTCCTCACACCCTACCCCCCACCCCATCCAATTCCTGGAACTGCTTTCGCGAAGTAACCATCCGCGTCTAGTTTTACATAGTCTATCTCATTTATTTACCGACGCTAGAATGCGCGGTGAATCCTAAAACACAACAGCTGCTTTCTTTTATTTCACGAGTAGCAACTGCTCCAGTTTCTTCGTCGCTTCGCATTACTCGAACGAGCATGCACAATCGATAAAGGAAAGCCGAACATTTCCCGGAATACCTGCCTCCTCGGATATGTGTCACGGCCCAGAAAAAATAGTGCGACAATTAAACGGGCGTTATAATACACAGAAACCGAGGCTAAGGGTCTACAATTTTAAAAACTTTTAAGTCGGGTAAGAAAAAAACGTTGTATAAATATCAGATAGTTTCAGTTGGTTAAAAATTAGAAGTAATCGCATATCCGAATTCCTAAAATTTTTGTTCCTCGATGAACGCGTTGAGACCAGAACACGAAGTGTGTGCTGTGAGCGCACCCGACGGGCGTTTAATGAGGCAGCATGCGGCTACGTGACATGGCAGGTAGAGCCAAAAGATTATACAGGTCAAGCTGCACGTCGTGCTGACCCACTTACGCCTCGCGAATCCCCCGGCAAAGCAGGCGGAAGACTCGTGCAGAGAGTGCGGGGCTGAATAGAAACGCCTCAAAGGAAACGACGAGGATCCTTGGAATGGGGGTCCGTTGAGGGGAGAACACGACTCTTACTTTCACTGGCCGGATGACCAACGTTGAAATTATTTCATTGCTGGATGGGGGCCGAAGGGAGGGGCGTTTTAAAAAATACCTTGGGAGACATAATTTCGTGCTGAAGCGTGAGAAGGAAGGAGACTGTTGGAGAAATATTTTTTGGGGCACAGAGAGGGGAATTTGTGAGAATTGATAATTTCGAGGTAATTTTGTTTGGAAACAAAATTCGGGAAGATGGAAGATAGAAGATTTGATATTTGCGTTGATTTTTGTTAGAGATATATTGGGAAGAAAATGTACAGTAGTCTATGTGCATACATGTGTAAGAAGTTGTGGGAAGAAGTTTCAGAGGAATCTAAATAGCAAGATGTGGAGATGTAATTAAGAATTAGTAATTAATAATAATTAGAATTAAATTTTTGTCGAGTTAGTAAATGTTTGGCATAAATAGTTTAGTACCTTTTTGTATACAGTGATAAAATGTTAGTTAATATATTATCATGCATTAACCCTTTGACGTGTATGGTCGTACATATTATACAAACAATATGACACATGTAGTAAGAAGAAAATTCCAAGATTATATCGGCAAAATCAGAAAATAATTCAACGATATATACGATATGTACGATAAACATTTATTGCAGATATGAGCCGTGGTGGCGCTAGTGAGTTAAATGGAAAAGCGTTTCAAGACTGCTAAAGAACTTACTCGTGAAAGGATTAAAAAATATGTCAATTACGTGTCCACATACCAGGACACTTGACGCATTATATACATCAACATCAAGTTGTATCTCCCTTTGAAATTATTCAACTTTTGTCTGAAATATTTTTCCATATAACAAATAGTTGACAAATAATTTAATATGGTTAAGTTGAATAATTCCGCTTGAAATATTATATTTAATTAATACACATTTTATTCACAAGAACTAGAATTCCTAACCTGTATTGTAATGTGAACCTAAATACATAATTATAGATAAATAATAATAATAAATATCAGGTAATGTAAATGGAATAATAATATATAAAAGATGTTAAATTTTATATAAAATGTATATATAATTGTAATTATA